ATAAAGTTAAAATCATAAATAATATTCAACGTTAAACTGGTACACAATTAAAAAAAAACATTTTATTTAGGCCTATCTATGGCGTTCAAAATATTGACGATTCTACATGTTTCGACGTTACGACGTCATCCTAAATAAAATGTTTTTTTTTAATTGTGTACCAGTTTAACGTTGAATATTATTTATGATTTTATCAGAAGTTTGTTTAAATCTGTTGCAAGATTTTTTTCTAATTTGGATGATGAAATCTCTAAGAAAAATTGAGTGAGTTTGTTTATTTATTATTGTTTATTTGTAATTAAGTACAAAGCTACACAACGGGCTATCTGTGCTCTGCCCACCACGGGTATCAAAACCCGGATTCTAGCGTTGTAAGTCCGCAGATATACCGCTGTGCCACTTGGGGACAAGGTCGTTTGTCATCTATATATTTCTTATGCTGGTTATGCGTAGGAATAGGTAAGCTCAAGCACAAGATGGGCTACCTGCTCGTTAAAAAATGTATTCCTGGTAAAACATGAGAAGCATGAGAACACGATGAACTTCATACGGGACTTTTCTACAGAAGGTAATGATGCTGTGGTAGGTTGCAACAGTCGAGTTGAGAATACTGCACCTCCTTAAAATGTCAGCTTGTTCCAGTTTTTAACAATAATAAGTTGCATGCGTAAATTTTTCAAGATTTGATTATTTAATAAAATAACATTATCCTCAAGTCGAAGTGACTTACAACTAAGATAATAGACCCATCGGATGTAGCTGTTAATTAATTAACGTAATGTTTTTATTAAGTGCAATTAGCCTATTAAAATAATTGTTTAAATATTTTACAACGAAGATACTGGTTTTGTCTGATTACGTTTGAATACTACTTGTTCATATGAACATTTTATCACAAGTTCTTCATTAAACCATAAAAAAAGCTTCTAGAATTGAGAGGTTGATATATACCACTTGAGATGCTGTTCTGTTAATGTGTATTTATTTTAAAGAATCGGCGAGAGTAGTTTCCAATTAATAAGTCTTTTGTTTCTTGGACATTAGGGAGATGACCAAATAAAAGAGAAACTAAATCATAAAGAAAGTGAGAAATGTAAAACGCCTGAAAATGACGTCAACTTAGTCGTTACCTCAGAAAATATGGAAAAGACAGGTGAAACGTATGAGTCGTTCAGGTTTAAAAGCAACCAGGGGGTGAAAGTAGATGGACTTGAAGAAAATAGCTGTCGTTTGAAAGAATCAGTGAATGAAATACAAAAACGTTTAACAGAAGAGGTTGACTTGAGAGCTGGAGATGGTCCTGTGTCCCAGAGTGACTTAAACGTTTCTCCAAGAAACTACTCTTCTACTTCTGTTAGTGAATCAGTGAAAGTGGAAATTCGTGTTACCGTCAACGGCAGCCCTTCAAGTGGTCCAGAAACCCTTTCCGATCTGAATAATTATCACCAGTGCCAAAATCAGGTCCCTCATCAGGACAAGGACAAGCCCTTCGGTGAACAACTTAAGCCTACTTTCTCAGATGCACCGAAGTGGAAGTTTAAAAGTTCTGAAGTTATTGGAAAAAGAAAAAAACATCGTTTTTGTATTGTAATGTAAATGTGTGCTAACTCTAAACTCAATTGTAACTGATAACAATGAAAACTTTATGAAATGTGAAACAAAAGCTCCTAAACCGAAATTCAAATTTTTATAAAGGGGAAATTTCCCTTAACAGGGTAGAAAAATAAAGGTCTGGAGATTTACCACTGATCCAACGGGGAAATGCAAATTAATTTCAATTATGTGCTTTAAAATTGGTATAGCATTAACTGTCAGTTTATGGTTTTATTTCTTGCTTGGAACTTTTATGCGCTCGTTTTCGACAATAACAAAAAAGAAAAAGAAAGAAAGAAGAAAATATAAATAACTACTTACATGCTTTACAGTGTGAAATAATCCTTTTTATTAACCAAATTATGGTTCCAAATAAAGGAAAACCAAACAAACCAACAAATGTGCATTTATACATCCAGTTTTTTGTCTCTTGATATTAATATAAATGAAAAATAATATCATATATCTTAACTATTACTTCAAGTACTCGTTTGTAGAAAAGGGATGTTTTTGAAAAAATTGAATTTTCTGCTTTCGATTAATTACCCCTTTTAATTTCTCCCATGTTGCGCAAGAACATTTCGGGGTCAAATTTAGTTCAGTAATATTTTATAAAAGGATAAAACTGAACAATTATTGTTTTTTTGTGAGTTACGTCATCTTATTTGTATTTGTAGCTCTATACTGAATTGTTCAAGATGACATTTTTATTTTAATATATAGAAATGTTTAGAGATTTGTCTTAGAATTTTCGGTGTGATTATCTGTTATAATTTCTTTCGATTTGTGAAATAGCTAAAGTAATTTTTATCGTTTGAATATGAAACGAACTCCAAAAAACAGCTTTTCTATGCTAGCAAGTTTTTATTTTCCTTCAGTGTTTTTCAGTTCATGTTAACTGTAATTGAGGGAATTTCTACCTTCACCATAACTTTTATGTCATTTTCAAGCACGTTCTTTATACTTATATAACCTAATTAATTTAAAATACACTTAAAGTAGTTTAGTTTACAAGGTAAACTCCGGTTTGAGAATGCGCGTGAACATCTAAAACCAAAACTTCGTGTGACATGTTCATTTCATAACTTACTTGCTTGAAGTTAAGCACAAAGCAACACAATGGGCTATCTGTGCTCTGCCCACCACGAATACATACCGCTGTGCCACTGAGAGGGGGGGGGGGCATAACTTACTTAAGTAAGAAGCATGATTGGTCATTTTTGTAAGTGATGTGAGAAACGTTATTATTCAGCAGTTATTTATACTAAACTCCATGGAAAAATAATACACCTGTCAATGATTTTTCAACGTAAACGCATAGGATTAAAATGCGAGTAAAATGACTTTGTAATGTAAAGACATGGTATACTTTAGGATCAAAATTGTGATTAAAATGACTATAATATAAAGACATAGTATACTTTAGGATCAAAATGTGATTAAAATGACTATAATATAAAGACATAGTATACTTTAGGATCAAAATGTGAGTAAAATGGCTAAAGATAATTTCCAATTGGTACTGTGTTAAGAAAACTGAAGATCGTCAATAAACATGAAGAAAAATGCCTTAAAACAAAGCTCTAAAATACGAGTTCTAGTTGAAAGATGCTACATCTCAAAGAAATACTAAATACGTTACTTGACTGTCATGAGTTATGACATACCATGAGTTTTATGATATATATATATATATGTTGTAGAATAAAATGACATCGAGCATTTTCAGCTTAGACTAAACAAAGTAAAATATTTTCTACGTAGAATTTTCAGTTTTTCTCTTACTGAAACTTTAGTTTTTCTTCTCCTCAATAATTAACTGATCACACCATGTTTCTTCATTCGTAAATTGCCCGATAGATGTCTCTTGTTGAGGTCATTTCAAGTAATTTTCTTTGCTGCAAAACTCAAACGTACACAATGTACTTATCTGTGCTATGCCCACTGCAAGTATCAAAACCCAATTTGTAGCGTAAAATCCCTTAAAATTACCGATCAGTCACTGGGGAGGCATTGCAGGGAAAATTGCAACTAATCTTCTTTTAGTAATAGGAATATTACAAATATTTTTGTCCCCTCCCTTCCGGTCGCTCAGTAGTAATTCTGAGGGCTGATAACGCTAAAATTCTGGTTTTGATACTCGCGGTGGACAAAGAATACAAAGCTCTTTCTGTAATTTTGTGCTTAATAACAAACATATAAATACTAAACTTTTCGATTACTTAAAGAAAAGTATTTATTACTATTTTTTCTTACATTTTAGTAGTATGGTTAAACGAATCTATAATATCAAAGGATTCAAAATGGGCTCCTTTAAAACAAAATAATTCTTTGGAGAACTTGCTCGGTAATTATAAAATAATTGAACACATTATCGACAGAACACCTCGCGAGAAAATAGTGTATTATGTTATTTTTATTATTTATTGAAAATTAACGGCACAAAATGCAGAATTTATTGTGTTCACATTAGAACAAGGAAAACCACAATTTTTGCTTCAATATCTTAACACTTCAAATCCCAAGTCTGCCATATAACTGCCAAGCTAAAGGCTGCGTTCATGGGGTTCGTACTGATTCATTATAAGATCTGTTCAGAAAGTCGAAACAACGCTTTATTTGTAAACACGTTGTTGGATGTAAACATTTTCCAAAATGCGCAAACTTAAACAACAGGTTTCGAATTATTGTACGTGTATTTCTGATATCTTCTAAACACAGTCGACTTATGTCATTGGCAGCGTGTGCATTTAGCAGTTCATTTTGTTTCGGACAAAGACGTAAAAGTGTTTGATTATTTCGTGTATATTTTTCATGCAGTGCTTAATTAATTGTTTGTAATTAAGAACAAAGCTACACAATGGGCTATCTGTGCTCTGCTCATCACGGGTATCGAAACCCGGATTGTAGCGTTGTAAGTCCACAGACATACCACTGTGCCACTGGGGGGCTTCATGCAGTGACGATACTTGTTAAGCACTTACAATAACGAATCACAGTTTAAAAAACGAGAACATTGGGGAGTAAATCTTCCTTTAATGAGCATAAATTGGAAAATATATAAACTCCGGAAATAGTTAATCACTTGATTTTTAGAAACTTCATAAGGCTAAGTATTTCTTTATTATTCCTTTTAACGCCCCCCAGTGGCACAGCGGTATGTCTGCGGACTTACAACGCTAGAATCCGGGTTTCGATACCCGTGGTGGGCAGAGCACATATAGCCCTTGCGTAGCTTTGTGCATAATTAAAAACAAAAACAAAAAAAATTCCTTTTAACTTATAGGAATAAATAACAATCTGTATAATATGTGGTCATTTTTAGTTTCATGTTATGTATAGGTCTATACACGCAAATGTAATATGATTGGTCCTAGTCAACCGAGCAATGTTACATTTAAACTATCTCAATATCAGTCATGAAGAAAGTTTCACTATGTCCCCTATCAAGTTTATCGCAATTTATTTGATAATTGATTCAAGCGTAGGGCAAGGAGTGGCCAGTATGCTGCTGAACCCTTTGCACTTGTAATCGTGAATGTGTTATACGATTTGACAATTAAACCGGTTTTTCGGTTTAAGTCAGAAGAAGTCCTTGTCTTAGCGATGTTGCTAGCTGGCTGCTTGCCCTCTGGTCAGTAGTTCAAAATGAAGGATGATAATTTTTGTACCCTAATGGCAGGGCCAGTCCTTGAGTCCAGGTGCAGGAATTAATGGTGGGGCCCCCTGCTACAATGTTATTGAATTATATATATATAGTGTGTGCATGAGAGAGAGAGAGAGATTACAGACAAAACAATATAACCATGCATGATGCATCTGAAACTAAATTTTAGTAATGACCTACCCAAGTTTCAAACATAAAAATGGAAGCAGACGCAATAATTGCAATGAAAAAGAAAATGTACTTACAAAATTTTAGTTCAAGTGAAATTCAATTTTCTTGCACTATCACTGGCCCATTCTTCTAAGAAGTTTTCGAAATTGACAAGACAGCCAAGGAACTGAGACGGTCTTGACTCATTTTTGATAGCAAATATGATTTCATTAATTTCAGTTTACTGAAAGAGCATTCAGCATTAGCCACTGTAACTGGCAAAGTTAGGTAAACTCGGAGAGCTACAACAACGTTTGGAAAATTGCATCATATCCGCAATTAACCAAAAACCTTAATAACTCTATGGTTTGCATTTCAGTATAGTTCTTTTCTTTCAGAATGTTTTTTTAGAACTCGTCTATGATTTCAGGACCAATGTCTTTGAATGAAAATTAAAAATCCTTTGCTGCTTCTTCTAAGTTTTCATCGGAGCTGTTTTTTCTTCTATTAAATACTAAAATAATTTGAAGCGATCCATTATTTCGGAATATTACTAAATCGCTCTTGAAGTTGTATAAGTATTGTT